CTACTTCCAATTTTGAACCACCTTTGTGGATAGGAACGACTTTCGCAGTTTTTAGAGCATTTGGGAAGGTACCACTGGAGAACGAACAGTTAATGACATTAGCTAGTGCCCTGGTAAAGTTTTCGCAGCTGTTTGCAATTTTCAATGGCTCAATTTTACAATCGAGTGTGGACTTGTTCTTAAGCCCTGATATTATCTTTTGGACTTCACCGTGTGATGTAGGCTTAAGAAACATCGAGTTACTACACGAAGCCTTAAGAAAATGCTTGAAACCACCTGGGTCAAAGGTTCGACGGGCAGCGATTTGCCTCTTGATACTGGCTGCAATACCGGAGAAGTAGCCGTTAAATTTCTCAGCGACTGCCAGATCGGAGCTTATAATCGTGCCATCGTTGTCCTTCAGACGGGTGTGTCCGAACTTTTTTCTGTTACGGTTCAGGAGGCCATTGATAATTTTCCATTGATTTTTAGAGCAGTTTTGGTATTTGTCAAACATTTTCTTATAGTACTTTTCTTTGGCTAGATTCACATGTTTGTGACAAAACTTTTTCATTTTATCATACGCGTCGCAGTTTTTTTGTGATGGATTTATAGTTTTGTCAAAAAAAAGTAACTTCTTGCGGTTGCATGCCGCCTCAAGCCAGGGTAAGATCCAAGGCTTTGGGTCAGCTCTTTCGAATTTTCTTCTCGAACTGTCGCGCTTCAGGGGGTATGCAGTATTGTAGTGTTTCATGTACGTTTGATAGATGGAATTGTATTGTTCATCAGCGCACGTTGAGGAGGTAGCATCATCCCAGGTCTCACTTACAATAAGCTCTTTGAATTTAGCATGATTAGCTTCGTTAAATACACGGGCCTCTAATTTCAAGCTAGTGTTGTTGTTCTTTACACGTTGACTACGGAATCGCTCATTCAAACTAGGTGTGGCTCCTAAACTAATGGTCGTGCTAACCGCGAGATGATCTGACATATCCAACGTCACGACATTACAACTAATAACGTTGGTCACGTGATTAGTATACACGTGATCAATAAGCGTTGCACTGTGGTCAGTTACCCTGGTAGGCTTGGAGACAGTCTGGGCAAACCCATATTTTTCTAGTAAGCTTATAAGATCCTGGCTGTAAGCGTCGGTATCGTATTTTATAAGATCAATATTTGCATCACCCAGGAAGACTATCTGCTTTCTGGAGTGTCTATCAAGACCCCTGAGCACGTTTTCAAACTTTTCAAGGAATTTTTTAGGGCTTGTGGATGGCGAGCGGTAGAAATTTACGATGATTTTTGTCTTATTTCCGTTTTTAAAATTGTTGATTTTAAGCAATTGAAATTCTCCGCAAGTAACTTCTTCTGGACTCAGATTGAGTTCGAGTTCCTGTATTTTATCGTAATTACAAACGCGTTTGTTAACATAGAGCGCAAGACCACCTCCTTTTCCAGATTTACGTGCAGGTTCTTTGATAAAGGGCTCGTAAAACTGTTCGATTTCAATGTCGTTCAGACCATTAGGAAGATTAGAAATTTTACAGTTGGTTTCATTGAGGCAGATGAGGTCAAATTTGGAGAATGTTTCTATTTCTTCTCTAAAATTCGAGATATTCTTCACGAGTGATCTAACGTTTAACGAAAGTATCTTAATTTCGCGATTGCTAGGGGTCTTGATATTATCAGGGTGTTGGTACTTACAGCTAACCAATATCTCCGATATACAATTGTTGAGATCGATTTCGCTGGAATCTATTTCATCAGTAAGTTCGCCTATTTGATTCAATACGTGAGAACGAATATAGGGGTTAAAAGTGGGGGTTATTGTATTGTAATTATCATTAAGTTCGTAGGAAGTTACTCTATAGCCAGGTATTAGGTTTAGACAGCATGTAATACAACCAAGATAATCTTTGAGGCATTTTTCATGAACTGGTTTGTCACATAGAGGACAAATGAAAACATTTCTAGGAGCATAAGACCACCCGAAGCAACTTGAGCATTGTGATTTGAAACTAGGTTCAACCATTGTCCAAGATGTGTAAATACCAGATATCTGTGAATAATTAAGTAAGATATTAAAAAGATAAGAGTGTAAATTATGGTGTATAGAATAGCTTGTACAGTCTAAGAATATGTATAAAATGCTAATGTGTGTGCGTGTGAATGAATGAGGAATAAACTGTGTGCTGAGAAAGCGTAAAGAAGAAAAAGAAAACTTGTTAGACCTACCTATCAAGAACTATACAGCTCTGTGTGTAGATAGAATCGTAACGTAGTCTACAATATTACAATATTACGATAGCGGTACTGATTTCAGAACTATTCTAAAGTGTTTAAAAAACTCGGGCAAGAATTCTAGTAACTTACGATAAGCTGATAAGAGCACGGGCATGACTATATATTTTTATGCGAGGGTTTTCATTATAACTATAAGATGTAAGCTATAATCCCTTAAAGATTTTGTAAACATTTTGTGAAAATTTAGGCGCGGCAAGTATAAGTAGTAGGCTTGGGTACGGCTTTGTGAGTTTGTATTTAACCGTTAGTTACCAGGCAAGAGCGAGACAAACTCCCGCCTTAATGGCCAGTGCTTGCTCTAACCAGAGCCCTCTCGCTTGCAGTAGCGCGCGACCGCCGCCTACTTGTGAAACAAGCGCGTCACGCAGTACGCGTAGGCACATGGCTATGTGAAGGCCAGTGCTTTCGAACTTTCTCGCTTCGCATAGAGAGTTTTTGAACACCGGTCACCAGACAGTTAGCTATCTCACTCTTGGGCAGCTGAGTAATGTGAATCCCATTTCCAGATCTATCTAAAATCTCAAACCCTTTGTTAAATATCACTCTACAAATATGGTGGGAGTCGAAAAACCAAAAGTTACGATTTTCGATCAGACTAAAGTCAAACATGCAGCGGTTAAACAAATCAACTTCCTTATTTAACCATGCAAATCTCGTTCTAAGAAGGGAGTTGAAAACAAACACTGTTTTTGGGTATCTAGCAAACAAGTAGTTAAAATTGTCCCTAATTTCACGGGAAAGTGTATAGCTTCTATGGTCATATCTCGACAAATCATTAATACCGGAAGATATAATCACATAATCGCAGTTTTCAAAAAAATTTTCAAACTTCATTAAGTCCGTGAGTTGGTACATGTCACGCTTTATGACACGAAAGTTAGAGGGGAAAGATGATGGGGTGTTACGTATCATAGAGTCAGTAAGGTATAGGACAGTCTGTTTGGAGGGTCTCAGGGGGTCGGATGGTGCTATTGACGGTTCATGGATTTTAGGAATGTGCGTGCGCATGGGCTTGTCTATGCGTCTAAAGGTCACTGACACACGACACGAGGTGACGCCAGGTTCGGGTTGTATCGCATGCTCCCAGAAAAACTGAGACTCTGTGGTCATTGCGTACACTGTGCCATTACTTAGTTCGTGTTCACGTCGCTCATCAGTGACTAAGTTACGGAAAGTTAAGGTGCGAGTGGCCCCAAAGCTGGCAGTGATGATTTCACCCGTTAAGCCTGTTTCATTATCCGAGTGAAACGGGATAGAGTCTGAGCCTGTCTGGTATCTAGTGACCATGCAAGTAACGTTATCCCTATTGAAGGTGGGAAGGTGGGAACGTAAACACTTATGTTTTTTAAAACCTTAATTAGTTTGAGCAATTTCGATGGTAAGAATTTGAATTATCACCGAATTTACTGTATCACGTCGTGACCCCCACGGTCGTTTCACTATGGTGAGTTTTTACGATACAGGGGGCCGCGGGAGCCGCGCACTCGTGCGCGGCGGGTCATACAACGTATGACAACGAATTTATACCTATTTTGTCATTTTAGACCTTTTAATTAAAGTCAATCTCTCCCAACTAATATAGGTTCGGTAGTTGAGGTCCTCACACATTTTCAAAATGATCTTATTCAAGGAACCGAAGATATAACAAAATAATACGACAAAAATCAACGAATTTCGTTAAATAACGCGACTTTTACACCTACTTTTGCTTCAAAAACTGCGTATCATCAAATATGGCAACTTGGCGAAACTCAATGATCATTCCAAAAAAAAGTACGACAAATTTGGTACTGTGTAAATTCTTACAATCTTTAGAAAACATTGGTTAAAAATGGTTCAACATTGATTAACGGTTGAATGCTGGTCACGCTCGCAGTAATTTCCAATGAGTATCCGCAATTTTTTAGTGGGCCGGAAATCATAATCCACTCAGCCCAAATAGAGATTTGGCGAAATGAAAGGCAAAATGAAATGGGCATTATATTTTATTAATTGTTTTACAGCTTTTTATTCTGTAAAAATTTGATTGACGATGTCAACCCATCGAGATCGTTGCGAAGCAGAGCAACGATCGATGATGCGAAGCAAGAATGATAGTTTGCGCGGCGCGTCGAAGCGGCGAAGTCCTCCAAGTAAAAATGTGCTAAAATAAAATTTATTGTTTCATTGAAATTTCTTGTTTCATTGAATTTATAATTTTAATTTGTTTATGAATATATCATAATATGTATTTATTCTTTTGTGACAAATAAAAATTTTGTTTTTCCTAGTAAATGTTTGCATACACATTACATTTTCCCAACCGATTTATAAAATTTAGTCTCCAATGTATTTATTATAAATGATCATCTGGATCAGCGATTTATTAGTTTCTATAACTATGTTCTGAAAACTGGCCACGGGCCTAAATATTACATATCAATCAATTACAATTCATTAGCATTACCAATATCAAAAACTGTCCAAAATATCTAAGAAAGTATTCTCTAGCCAAAGGGCTCAATATTTAAATCTAAATCTTCAATATTGTCTGGTTTATGTCGCAACTTGGGCCCTCTGTCCCCCCTTATCGAAATAACTGTTGTCTTTAATACCTCAAAGCGCAAGTCCTTTCTAAGATATGTAACTGAGTCTGAATATCGCTGACCCGTTGGTGATTCCATCTTTTGTGCAAGCTTTTTTTCTATAACTATTCTAAAATGTGCCACTTCAGTTCAGGAAGGAGCTATGATACGATTTGCTGGAATACAAATGTTAGTTGGTGCTGATAAACTTTCAAACTTAAACAAAGCATCTGTAGTTAGGGCAAGAGTTGATTTTTCTGTGAACAAATTCGTAACAAAGGTTTGTCTACAGGAATGTGTTGTCCATAGTCCCAGGAACCACCAAAAAAAACCGTCCACCTGAAACTTTTGGGCAAAAATTTTTATAATCATTTTTCTCCAGGAACCCATACGCCCCACCCCTAATATTGGTTATTCGGCTCCCGAAGGTCTTGAGATCTCCATAGGGGGTGCAAAATGACCGCAATGGCCACATTATGGCAGGCGAATGATAGTTTCAGAACGATTGGACCTTTATTTTTCGAAATAAATGGAATTTTTCGAAATTTTTCTCAATTTTATTGAAATTTCGAAAAAAATACACCAAATTATTTTTAACGCTTATTTCAAATCTTACTCGGGAAATAACTTCAATTAACAAATATCAAGGTTAACTAACAAACAAAAGATTATTGACCAACCCCCAGACAGCTATTCGACGGTACATACTACTCTGGTTGAATGTCTTAAGTTATCCTACAGTGAGCCGATGATAATCACATTCGATTTGCCATTGTGGATTAAGGCCACCCGAATAGTACTGGAAACTGGGATGCCTATTGTGGTCAGGGTTGGGGGCTTCCACACTCTCACGAGTTTTCTTGGCTGCATAGGCTATATAATAGCAGACTCGGGTTTAGAGGAGCTCATCAAACTCGTGTATCCTGGAGACGTCACGCATATATCGGATGGAGGATCTTACTATAAAGCGTTGAGAGCCCACTTTCTGATCGACGCCGCTCTTTGTTGTTTCATTATAGAGGAAGAAGTTTACGACGATGAACTAGTAGACTTGGAAGGTTACTTCAACAAATGTGTGAACGAAAATCTAGGTGTTAACTTTAAGACTAAATCTATTCAGGATCTATCAGAGAAAATAACTCTGCTTCTAAAGAACCTGTTTTCCAACAGTAAAACAGCAGCTCTATGGGTTACTTACCACAACATGATAACACTAGTAAAGGACTTCATAAGAGCAGAGAGGTTGTACGACTACAATATGCATTTATCAGCAGGATGCTATTTTTAAAGTCAAGTATGGGGCGCTTTTAAAGACCTTTAAAGTAACTGGGCTTCACACGGTTTGTGACAACGACCACGAGTGGGCCGGGGTGTGGACTGACCTCTCCATAGAGCAGAGTCTTATGAGGGCAGCTAAATCTAGTGGTGGATTAACAAGTGGAAGGATGCGTAATCGTGAGTCCGCTCACAAGTTATGGGTGGCCACCCTGAATCAGATGGCTTTAATAAATCAGTCTTTTGGAGATTCATTAGCTAATTCATCGAAGCGAGGAGTACCAACTAAAGCTGCCATCCACTCAGATCTTAACAAGTCATCAATCAAGAAAAACTGTGATGTATTTGGAAAATTATTAACTTGGTTTAAAGTTACTGTCGACTTTACAGAATCCGAAGATAAGACTAAGTTAATATCTTTTTCGACTGGTCCTATATCACAGCCTGGGAACGATGAGGTGAATCCCGAGGAATGTTTGGCCGTCGGGGCTGTCCTTCAACATGAGCTAGATGGGTTGACATTCATCGATAAGATAAGTATCAAAGGTAAAGCAAAGAACTTGACACAACTAAGAAAGCAGGTTAAAGTGAATAATAAAAGCGTTGCAGTCGATCCGTTGAAGTGTTTTAGCCGTCTAGTCTTGGTTGCTGATAGAGAGACTCCAATAGAGGAATGCCTAACATACGAGTTAACTGTGGTGCCGATGAGCTTATTTGATCAATATCAGATGATGAGGAAATCTAATAAGGCTGCTCTTGGTATAAACCAATCTACACTTACATCTTGCAGCTTCACGATCCCACTAGTCATTGATGGAGGTTGGCTAATTCACCAACTAAGCTCATTTAAAGGGTGTGACAATTATGGTGAGGTAGCAATGGAGTACTTGAAGCTTATCCCTAAAAATCGGGAAGTTACTGTGATTTTTGATGGATATGAGCCTTCTACTAAAGATCACGAGCACAAGAGGAGAGTAAAAGCGTTCTGTGCTAATATTGCTGTAAAGAAATCCACCTTTTGTACAGTCACCAAAACAACATTTCTGAGCAACAACAATAACAAAAAAGAACTGATCGACCTTATCTCAAGCATTTTGACTGTAAATGGTATTGAAGTGATCAGAGCTTGTAACAATGCTGATACTTTAATTGCAAAGAAAACATTGGAAATGTCATTCCTTGGCGATGTTGAATTGAATGCAGAGGATACCGATATAGTTCAAGTCTATTAGTACATCATTTCAACAGTGACCATCACAATGATATTTATCTAACAACGAAGAAGGGTACATATTCAATCAAAGAAATATCAAGTCATCTAGATCATAAAGAAAAGGAGATACTTCTTCTAATTCATAGTATTTCAGGTTGTGATAGCATCAGTGGACTGTTTGGTTTTAGCAAGGTTAAAGTGCTAAAGAAAGCTCTCACCTTTGATGAGCAAGGTCAGTTGGCAACATTACTTTCGGTGAGAGAATCAAAAGAAAAGATTATTGAGGCAGGCCTCTATTTCTTGCAGTACATTTATGGTGACAAGAAAAAGACTCTTTCTGCTTTGAGATTCCTAGCATACAATAGGATGGTAGCGAAAAAGAGTCTCAATCCGAATAGGCTACCTCCAACAATAGCTTCAGCAACGGAGCACATCCTTAGAGCTTACTTACAGTACCATAACTGGGTAATGCTTAACGCTGACAGTCTGAATCCCCTTGACTACGGCTGGAAATTGGCTCCTGGTGGCACTAACGAACCAGTTGCAACAAAAGCTATAATTGCTCCAGAGTCTATTTTGAACCTTATATGTTGTAACTTTTCTGTCGTCTGTCGATGTGGAACAGGCCTGTTTGACTTTCAGATGTTCATGTAGGAAATATGGCTTCAATTGTTTGCCAGCTTGTGGACGATGCCATGGTATGAACTGCACAAACACTAGACATGATGAACCTGAAGAACAAGCGAATTTTGATTAATATTAACTGTGTATTAATAATTGTCATGGTATTTACTGAGAATACACATTTTAGATTGTATTTGTTATTTGTAGATGAGTTTTTAAATAGATTTGAAATAAGCGTACAAAATAATTTGGTGTATCTTTTTTCGAAATTTCAATAAAATTGAGAAAAATTTCGAAAAATTCCATTTATTTCGAAAAATAAAGCTCCAATCGTTCTGAAACTATCATTCGCCTGCCATAATGTGGCCATTGCGGTCATTTTGCACCCCCTATGGAGATCTCAAGACCTTCGGGAGCCGAATAACCAATATTAGGGGTGGGGCGTATGGGTTCCTGGAGAAAAATGACTATAAAAATTTTTGCCCAAAAGTTTCAGCTGGACGGTTTTTTTTGGTGGTTCCTGGGACTATGGACAACACATTCCTGTAGACAAACCTTTGTTACGAATTTGTTCACAGATTGACCCATAAACAGCAATTCTTGCCCTAACTACTGAACTTGTTTCAAAGGCTGCGAAAGCTGGAGCTAAGCTAGTTTCACTACCAGAATGCTTCAATTGTCCGTATGGAAACCAGTACTTTGCTGAATATGCTGAAAAGATACCTGATGGACAGTCTTACAACCACTTAAAAATGCTTGCACTTGAGCATGAAATACATTTGATTGGTGGCACTATACCAGAAGAATGTGATGGAAACTTATATAATACAAGTTTAGTTTTTAGCCCCGATGGAGAATTAATAGCAAAGCACCGTAAAGTTCACTTGTTTGACATAGACATACCCGGGAAAATTAAGTTCAAAGAATCAGATACTCTATGTCCAGGTAGCAGCATCACCACATTCAATGTTAATGAGTTTACAGTAGGACTGGGTATCTGTTATGATATACGGTTCCCTGAACAGGCACACATTATGAGGGATCAAGGGGCTCATATCATGATTTATCCAGGGGCATTCAACATGACCACTGGACCTGTTTACTTCGAGCTTCTGAACCGAGCTAGGGCTGTTGACAACCAAGTTTACTGCTCTAGTATTGCTCCTGCAACTGACAACACAGCAACTTACACAAGTTGGGGACATTCTTTGATCTGTGCGCCTACTGGTGTGGTAGTAGACAGTGCTTTACATGATGAGCAGATTGTGTATTGTGATATGAGTATGAGAGAGATACAGGATATTCGAGAGGGAATACCTACATCGAAACAAAAAAGGAGTGATATTTACAAGTTGGTTCATGTGCAAAAATAAGTTTTACTGCGAGAAAATTGAATTAAATTGAATTAAACGAATGCACTCACAGTCAATAGATGCTTTGATTTAGTTACTCAATTTGTTTATGATTAAAATGATTGACTTTTCATCAAAAACTAATGATTCATTATTCCCCATATCATTTTCTACATTATAATTAACACCCTGAAAACACATTTTTAATTTCCTTGAATTAATAAACAACAACTCTTGCCTAAAAGCAACCAGTCATACCATTATATTACTGTCTCTTGAAACAACTCTTGATCCACCATCCTCAGAGCCAGACACTTCCTTTTATATCCCAGAAAATTATAGTTGCCGTTGTGAATGGTAAGAGTGCCCCTTTGCCCTGTCAACTATAAATTCACCTGCAGTAGGATACAAGGATACAAGGATACAAGGATACAAGGACACAAGGATACAAAAGTGATAATTACTTTATTGAGTACACAATAGTTGTAATTCTGAAATAATTTAAGTTACACAATTCTTTAAGTTATTTACAAGTGTGTACGGGTATATGGCCCCCAGAATATAGGTGGCCCCCAAAATATAGGTCATGTTAGTGGATACATTTCTAACCAAGATAAGCGATACTAATGGGATCTGTTACTGCTAGGTTGGAGTAAAACATGTAACTTATGTTTCTGGATAAAAATTTTGGACCTACATGAGGTATTTTGGTATATTTGGTCATGACAGCGAAAGATTTAAACGATGTTGTCATTTTCTAGAGGGGTAAATATGGCGAAAAATTGTCATGACAAAAATCTGTCCAACACATGCCATTAAGACTACTGGTATGAGTATAAGTATTATTTTAAGCTATCTTTTCATCGAGACATCTGCAAACTGACAATTTGGAAAAAAGTTATGGCCACCACAATTTTACGGGCCCCCAGAATATAGGTCTATACGACCCCCAGAATATAGGTTGGTCAAAAACCCTGAACATGCCCAAAACCATGCTTTGGGATGCTCTACTTGTAGCTACTAGTCTCCTGAACCCACATATCAAGTTTTATCAAAATTGGATAAAAATTGGCCGAGTTATGGGATAAAAACAAAAACCATATGCCCATATTTGGGCATACGCACCAAATTTGATCGATTTTGGTCCATAAATTGGTCAAATATCAATATTTTTGAATGAAACCAACTTTATATGGAAGGTAAGCATATATTACACATTCTCTATGATTATCAGCTCAATATCTACCTAACTGTGGATTCTGTGTTCAAATAATCGCAAAAAATGAACAAAATCGCCCATATCTCAAACTGACTTCGCTCAAAACAATAGAACTCAATAGGGTTTCAATATTTTCACATGAAATTTTCAGAATCAACGTAGAATTGTCTCATGACCTTAAGTTTTGGGACAGAATTTTGAGTTAGGCCTTTAAAAAAATTTGGCGGCCAAAAATGTCTGATTTACAGTCATTGAGGTGCACATTGTATTGATACAGATAAAAACAGCCCCCCTCAATCATATCTAGGGACACTCCTTCAATCTTATTTAAGTATTTAGTTAAGATCCCTACTAAATGAGTGCATGAAAGCTTTTAAACAAGTAAAATTAAAGATTTTACTCATCACGGGTATATGGCCCCCAGAATATAGGTTTTTTTAAAAAAATAGCGACCAAGATTCTGCATTTTCTCTGTCACCCTGAGCATTAAGGAATGTGGGGTAGTGATAAGAAACAGTTAAAGAACATATGCTGAAGAGATGGCATCATCAAAATGTATGAAGGTGGAGTATTTGAGGACGATTTTTGCATACCTATATTCTGGGGGCCGTAGTTTTTGATTTTTTGCTATTAAGTATACTCTAAACCATTTCAATTTAGTATCTGGAGCCATTGGCATCATCAATACAGTCTCAGCAACATATTCTGACTGCATATAACTGTCTGTGACAATTTTAGAACAACTTAGGAACAGATGTTTGGACCTATATTCTGGGGGGCCCTGTTAAAAAATGGTATTTTTACAGGTGAAAAAAAAAGTACACTTAAAAACCTAATAATTATTTTCAACTACCCAAGAAACATTTAAAGGGTTATTATGTACATATTTACAGCCCTAAACATGCTTAGAAGTAGTTTTAACACCTGTTTCTAAGTGCTCAAAAAACGACCTATATTCTGGGGGTCATATACCCGTAGGGATAATTTAGAAATGTTAAATAATGCTAGTTTTAGAAAAATAGATAAATCGAGTTTGTATGGTTCAATTTTATTTTAAGGTCCTATAGCATTATGCACTTGCCAGTATTTGAGTGGAAATCTGGGCTCTTATAATAGTATGACTGGTAGAAAAAACTGTCATAAATTGCTTTTCTTTGTAAAGATTTCAAAAGTTAATGTACAAAATTGGTATAAAATTGATAACTTTGTTTTACTGATAACTTTGTTTTACTGATCCTAAAATTGTATCTAATAAGGATTAATATTAGAAATTATTTTCTGTTTGGGAAGAAAGTTATGGTTGGGAGGTGATCTGTAAATTGCTACAACAAAATCGAGACTACCCTAATCAATATAATATGCAAATTTAAAAGCGGTTCATGATTAGTGTGTATTTGCAATGTGGCTATTGCAAATAATTTTTGCATCTACTGGGAACAATGGTCCCTCCATTTATTAATTGAAATAATTTCAGGAGATGATGTCACACCTCTGTATAATATAAGCCTCTTCAACTACTACAGAAGAGGGCTATTTCTGTTTATACAACAATCAATATGATATCTTCAAGGATGATATCAATGGGCCTACGCAAATCCCAAAATGTCAAACAAATAAATCTGGTACTAAGTCAGAAGATGAGCACTCTAAACATTCCATCAGAAACACTACCAGCTGCTTTAGATTCAGTTAAAGCTGTTGTCACAGTCTTACCTGACCATGCATGGTACAATATGACAGCACACTATCAAGTCCTTCTGGATACTGTTCAGGTTAGCTCAGGTTTACCGTGGTGGGCTGTTTTGTTGGGGACTGGATTTGCTGTCAGATCTTGTTTGTTTCCAATCAACATTCTCCATGAAAAGAAATTGACAAAAAATATCAAACATGTAGCTGAACTGGCAAAGCTGAAAACGGAAATGACAGGCTTCTTTAGAAAAGGCGACCATGTTGCGTCCTTAACCAAGCAGGGAGAAATCAAGTATTATAAAAAGGTTAACAATTTCAACTGGACTAAATCAGCTAATTGGTTACTGGTTCCAACATTCATGACCATGTCTTTGAATTTTTTTTCTATTAGAAATCTTGCTGAAATTTCATATCAACCTTTGCACGACACAAGTTTTTTGTGGCTTTCTAGTTTGTGTCAAAGTGACCCATATTTCCTGTTTCCAGCAATGAATGCTGCTGCTGTTGCTTATGTTTTTAAATATGGAATAGATACTGCAGGATCAGAAAATCCTTTGTCGCAATTGCTTTCCTCAAAAAAAGCTTTGATGTTTACCATGGTTGTCATGGGGGGCATCCAATCAATGTTTCCTTCTGCTCTGCTCTTGTATTGGTTTGCATCAAATATATATGGCATGGCTGTTGTGAGACCATTGATGAATAATGACAAGTTCAGGATCAAAGTTGGACTGCTCAGTTTGGAAGAGAAAAAGGAGGCCTTCAAGGCTCTTCCAACAGCTAAAGATATCTTCGGCGATGCTTCTAAAACTTACCAGGAGGTTCGGGAAGACGGCCATGCTGAAGACGTTGAAGCAAGGAAAGCAAAACTTAATGAATTAGACACGAAAGAGAGCAGTAGCACTAATATTGTTGAGCTGAGAGAATCTTTGGACAAGCTTAAATCAGAGCTGAAGATAAAAGATGAGGAGCTCTCTAAATTAAAGGGTGAAACAGAAGAGCAGATACAATTTTTGAAGAACTCAGAAAATGTTGAAAAGAATTCTTCTAAAAAGGAGCAAGCTGAATGAAATAACAAATCATAAATTCTTTTTAATTTATTAAGCATTTTTGATGAAACATCATTGCCTCAGTGTGGTTACTATTTTTGTTAGAAATGATCTCAAACAGTTCCTATTGTTATTGTACTCTTTCACCCTTTGCCTTTTACAAAACAATTGTCTTTTTGTGTATATTATTGGTACATATCAAGTCAGCTATTTCTTAATTACTTTATGAGTCCAACTTATAATTGTTAATATATAACATATTATAATTATCATTAACCCAACACTTGTCTTGGAGGTTTAATTTAATTCTCTGAGCTTTTATTTAGGATATTATTTGTATCTAGACAGCAGATATGGTTGGTAACCATGGTAACGTCTTGCAGGTTATGGAGTTAGACCACACGTTCTTGAACTCGCCACTTTGCAATTATTTCATTGATGTGACACAAAGTTGTATTGAGAATTTCATTGAGGGATTTGCAGTTGACCCATCATCCATTGAGGCTCTGGAATGCTACCTTATAGGTAAAACTACTTTTGCCCCGCCCCCCTCCCCCATAGTCCCCCATCCATTTACTTTCAAACTGAATTGGAATTTTTCTTCTTTGTAATTTAATTGCAGAGAAAAGATATTTGTGTTCTACGCACTCTTCTATTCTAAGGTTGAGAACTGTTTTTTATCCTGAAACCAGGTAAAATCCCCAGGAGCTGTTGAAAGATACGACCCTGTCAGTTACGAAAAAGTCTCACCACGCTATCAGGGTATATGGAGCGTGTTAAAACTACAAGCATTAGCTGTGCAGTTTATTAGTAGCCTCGTGTATAAAAGAGGTGTTGGGGTACTGAGTCCTGCTTTCTTAAGTTTAGTGAACTCTGTGAAGAAGAGAAAAGATAATAGTAACCATGGTAACGACACTCACGTGACAAATTACACGTGCGTCAGAGAAGAAGAATGCACTTTGCTCTGTAAATCATGGGTAGGCTTTAGTATACAATACAATAAATTATATTATGTTATATAATACAATATCATATTATATTATATCCACATTGTGCAGTGAAGCATGCCTTAGAAACTTGAGATAACTGTAGTACTGGATAAGTATGGGGAACAAGTTCTACCTGAGTGACTTTAAGGTTGGTAACCATGGTAACCTCCTGCAGGACATATACTTTAAGGTTGGTAACCATGGTAACCTCCTGCAGGACATATACGCAATGCGAGGGAACCACGAGTCGGGTGATGTAACACAAATACTCCTGGACTTGACCTATGAGAACTGTAAGGATATTGACTTTGTGAGTAATGTTATTAGTAGTTATTGTGGTATTATTTTAACTTTTCATTACTTTGTTCATTTAATAAACTTCTTATATTTTGTAAACATAGTACTATTAACTATTAACAATTTATTTTGTCTCTTAATAATAAGATAATTACAGATATTTGTACATTGCGTATGTGTTGTTGTTGTAATTAGTTTGTCTTAGCTTTCAGTTGTAGATTAATAGATGTGAAATGATGATTCTGAAGTGAGAAGTGACTTTTTGGCACATGACAGCAATAAGAATCAATGAGTAATGACACGTGTCAAAAAGTCTACCAGCTCCCCACCAGAATCCACATCTATGATTAAGGGGGCAGGGGGGGGGGGGTAACAACATCTATTAAATTGACCACAACAAACAACTACAGAGCAAGGTTAAAAAGCTGGTCAGTGCAGCACTAAACGAGGAAGTGCACAGTAGTAACCATGGTAACCTCGGTGAAGTGCCAGAACTTATCTCTGATAACAGTTACCTCAGCTTCTTCGTGGAGTTCCTGGTGGGGGAGGTGTTGATAAACAAGTTCAGAAATTATCACAGTGTAAGTAGAATAGGGCTGGTAAAACTTGACACATAGTTGCGGAACAATCAAGTAGATAGTTGCGGAACAATCAAGTAAAATAACAAAATATTACAGATTATAATATGTAGTTGACATCTCCCTACAAAACCACTTCCTCCCTCAGCGCACTGAGAGTGTGTCTCCGAGTAAAGCTGCCACAAGTGTTCCTAGTAACCAGAGTTCTGGTAAAAGATCCACAAGTGTTCCTAGTAACCAGAGTTCTGGTAAAAGATCCATGACAAGCAATCAGGGACCTAACTACAAAAAACTTAGAAACATTTTCAATGATAATGTTTTCGTGAGTAATAACTTTATTATAGTATAGAGTATTAATACTATACTATAATAATAATAATAGTAATAACTTTACTTTATTCCTCAGCGTGCAAATCACTTCTCTAGAGAACGGTTCTTGTGTAAAGTTCTAATAATTATTTGTGTGACAAAGTCGCATTTTCGTGCCCGCCCCACGAATATTTAGTTTAAAATACTACACTATTCTTCTCGTAACACTGTTACACTGTAGTTAAAGTAGTTTAATGAATATTGCTCAGGAAAAGACCCCGGCTCCTACCCCACAAACTACTCCCTTAAAGAAACACATCACAAAAACGGTTAGTGAAGTGAGTGACCAGAGTCAGTGACCAGAGTCAGTGACCAGAGTCAGTGACCAGAGTCAGTGACCAGAGTCAGTGACCAGAGTCAGTGACCAGAGTCGGTGACCAGAGTCGGTGACCAGAGTCAGTGACCAGAGTCAGTGACCAGAGTCAGTGACCAGAGTCGGTGACCAGAGTCAGTGACCAGAGTCAGTGACCAGAGTCAGTGACCAGAGTCAGTGACCAGAGTCAGTGACCAGAGTCAGTGACCAGAGTCAGTGACCAGAGTCAGTGGCAAGGATAAGCTTAAGCAAGTGTAATTTCTGCACAATAGCCACGTGTAAAATAATACACAAAATTAGTCATGTGTAAAATGGCTTTCGGAGGGATTTAAAAGTCTAGTTTACATAATTAAATAATATGTAAACGTGAAATTGGGCTATTAAAACATTGGAATAGTACAAAAGGTTGTTGCAAACATAATTTAAAACTTTGCCACAGGAAGCAAGACACAGTGTGTCAGGATACACAGAGTATTGTCACTGTAGAGGAGAAGAGTCGGGAGTAATGGTGCAATGTGAACAATGCGGAGAGTGGTATCACGATGTGTGTATCAGTCTAACGGAACAAGAGACTCTCAATATGGAGACTTACTACTGCACATCTTGTAGTAACTCTGATCGTAACCTGGTCACCAAGTAACCTGGTCTCCAAGTAACCTGGTTACCTGGTCACCAAGTATAAACAAGGTTTAGTCTAGAAGATGGGATAAAGAGCTGTGCAGTGTAACTATTGTACTTCAAACAGAATTATTAACCAGTCTTAAACAAACTGGAATTATTTAACATCTTTATTTTTACTATTTGCCTTCACACTGTTGCATACGTGATCTTGTTTATTATTTCCTCGGCATTTATATATTTGGTGACTTTTAACTTATGGATTTTTCTTTTTTTAATTATTTTAATTAAATTTCTTATTATTCATAATATTTCAAGATATTTAACAATTTAATCCGACTCCCAGATTTCAGTTATTTAAATACAATGGTTCTACTGGAGCCGTCTTGGTACTCCAATTATAGTATATACAGTTACTATTGTATATGTCTTGGTACTATTGTATATGATTTGGTTGATGTCACGATTCCTCATACTGGAAGCATTATTGAAGCATTCTTTCTATGTGCAGCTCAACGATGTTCCAAACATTTCTTGAGAATTTAAAAAATTGTGATATATTGGAAAACTTTGCCTCTTAACCAGATGTTTCCAAGTCATTTCTGATCTTGGAAACCCAGTTTCTGCGATGGATCACAGATCACACGTGTCCTACCACCCAGTTAGGACCTGTTCCAACAAATCATAGCCGACAATCTGGCTTTAATCTAGTCCACCTCGACGCACTCTCGAAACTTAGGCCCTTTATTGGGTCATTTTCGTCCCTACTCCTTTCGGTCCCTAATTAGTCTACTTAGCTGACTAATTGGTCTCTGGGCAAAAATTCCATCAAATCGGTAAAATTTCTGTTCAGAAATTGTCATATTTGAAAATGGGACAGAAATTGGAAAATATGAATTTTTGTTTTGCAAGTTTAATCCCCATGAATTCTCAAAATGTTTCTCGATGTTTCTAAGTTAATTTTAACTCCAGATATCATTCGTTTACTACCTGATACCTCTCTCAGGAACTTATGAGAACAAAATGAGTTTTTGAGAGAAGCAGAAATAAATCATTATTCGTAGGGCGCTGTGACATTTTCGTATGATAGTGCACTCCTGCGCACATTTGTCACACATTAATTTAACGCGCGTGACGCGCTTTTAGGACACGATTGTTTCTACATTGTTTATGCTGTCTATCGTGAATGCGGTACTTAATTCTTGAAATGAAAGTCTTAATAAGATCTAACCTTTCAACTACACATAAAGCAATGGATTCAAGAAGTGGTAAAAACAAGAATATCCAGATCCTAGACAGGCCCCTCAGCAGGGGTAAATCAGATGTGAGTCTCAGTTGCTTCGCCTTCTTGTTCTCCGAGTATGTGCAGTACTGTACAAACAGAGTCATGACCATTCCCGACCTGCAGAACAAGCTAGCTAAAATTGGGAATGACGTCGGTTTTCATTTGGTCGAGATACTTAACTACAGGGAGAAGAAGTAAGTCTTATTCTAGTGTAACCATCATAACTATAGTACCCAGTGCAATATTCATAGCACCCAGTGTAACCATAATAACTATAGTACCCAGTGCAATATTCATAGCACCCAGTGTAACTATCATAACTATAGTACCCAGTGCAATATTCATAGCACCCAGTGTAACCATAGTACCCAGTGTAACCATAGCACCCAGTGTAACCATAGTAACCAGTGTAACCATAGTAACCAGTCTTTTCTTCGTGATAACTAAAAGACACATGATACTTACCCTCACGTTCTTGTTAATGATATACAAGTTATGCTATTTTGGTACCTATAAATTTGTTAAAAGTATCTGTGAAATGTAACCCTACACTTACTCACGTTTCAGTCCGAAGCGAGAGAACAAGCTGATTAACACGCTCCTCTTTGTAAAAGGAACAGTTTGGAAGTCTCTGTTTGGGAAAGAAGCTGACAAGTTAGAGCGAGCTGATGATGATGAGAAAACGTACCTGATAATAGAGAACGAGCCTTTAGTAAACAGGTTTATTTCAGTCCCTAAAGATAAGAGCTCTTTAAACTGCGCTGCCTTCATGGGAGGGATAGTGGAGTCGCTGTTAAATCACACTGGCTTCCCTTGTAAAGTCACCGCTCATTGGCACAAGGGTAGCACTCTGCTCATCAAGTTTGAGGATTCTGTTATGCAGCAAGAAAAGAAAAACATGTGAATCAGCAACTAGCCGTTACTTAGCAACATGTTGATTGTTGAAACTAAGTTCGGTGATCAGTCTAACAGAAATTGAACCAAACAAAAGCTATTATTATCAAAACACCTTTTGAACTATCTTGAAGAATAGATCGGCTTTTAGGTCGGCTGGACCGCATGATCTGGAGTGTGACGGGATATCTATGTAAAAGGTTACCTAGCAACTAACTGGTTACCTAGCAACTAACTGGTTACCTAGCAACTAACTGGTCGGTTAATGGTTAACATTCTGGTGGTAAACTGTATTTGTCAGGGTGCTAATTTGATTGCCTCTTGAAGTGTTGTATGCAAAGGGTATGTCGCTGATAGTTAATTCGGAATATTTCCATTTCAAAATTGAATTATAAAGCATGTGTCTCAGAGTTTAACTGTACTTTTTTAGATAGTATGTGTTTATTAAAAGTTGATCTCCAAAAGGAGGTGATATGCAATGTTAGCTTTAGACGCGTTACTATGGTTACTATGGTTACTATTGTTACTATGGTTACTATGGTTTAGACGGTACTATGAAGCTATGAGCACATCGTCATATCTCATTACGATGCAGTTAGATCTGACTGAAGTTGTTTATTTGTTGTTTTGGATAGGTTACCTAGCAACTACCCGGTTACCTAGCAACTACCCGGTTGGATAGGTAACAGCAGTGTTTTATTGATCAGTTAATCTGTGGATTTGTTCATTGTAATTAAGATGTTATGAATGTTAAATTGTTGATTTTAAATGATGATAACTTTAAGACTTTAATTTTAAAATCTACAGAATCTATTCTTCGTTCTTGTGAATGTGATACTCATTAACTAATAAACTAATAAACAGTTATTCAATGAGTGGAATATACCTTAAACGTTCGAGTAACCATGGTAATGGATTTGTTAAATATTTGTTTTGCTTACAGGTAGTATGATATGACCCAGCAAATACAGTGTGACAGTTAAAGTAACCTTGTAACACTGATAGCGTTACAGTAGGTGTTACACTTGGTGTTACTAGGTAACGGCTAGTTGCTAGGTTACAATGAGATGCCTCTGGACGATGGTAAAGTTTCAATAAAGAGCGTGCAACACACTCTTAACAGGTGACAGCATAACTAGTTGTAGTTGTCATGGCAACCACTATTAAGCTACACTACCTGTCATCTCACAAGTCTAACTTCTCTAATCTATGAAACCTCCAAACTAAAAGTCCACAAATTGACCTTAATAGTCAGAAGAGTTGTTACTTTAGATAATGGATGAAGTTATAATAAGCTGTAAGTACCTGAAACAAATGTCGCTCCAAATAGAAAATACGTGATTTCGAAAGCCGAACACCGATAAGACCCTCTTACAACAAATTAACGTTCAATTGGATTTGGCCCCCTCCCTCTCTGAAGTCGTTACGTCAATAGGTGGCCATGGTTATGATTGAAACGGATCTTACTTTGCATTTACATTCAGGAAATGGGGGGGGGGGGGGGGGGGGGGGGAAGGAAGCAAATAGGGTTGTGCCATGCAGTATGCTGTCAACTCTTCAGGAATCTTATCTTATCAAATAAAGGGCTCGATGGTGCTGTATGATTGACCAGTCAAAGCATCGTGAATGTAAGATACAAATAATTTTGCATCTGCTAAGGCTACAAGATGAACACTATATTTAACTATGGATCGACTTAGGAGGGACTATTCCAGTCCACTGAACCAAGAATATTAGGTAATGGCAGTTATAATAATATATAATAGTTACTGATAACTCTCCCAGTTGCTAGGTAACGGTAACTCTCGCGCAGGTTTAAAACATCACTTCCTCAACTGTGCACACAACTAGAACAACATGTTGAGATCATCAAGTCAGCTAAACAACAAGCTAACATTCGGGCTCTCAACAGAGAACAGAGAGCTGCCTCCAGAACTTTTAAGTAAGTTAACTTAAGTAACTATACTATAGTGTAACTCAAGTAACCATACTATAGTGTAACTAAAGTAACCATACTATAGTGTAACTAAAGTAACCATACTATAGTGTAACTAAAGTAACCATACTATAGTGTAGCTAAAGTAACCATACTATAGTGTAGCTAAAGTAACCATACTATAGTGTAGCTAAAGTAACCATACTATAGTGTAACTAAAGTAACCATACTATAGTGTAACTAAAGTAACCATACTATAGTGTAGCTAAAGTAACCATACTATAGTGTAACTAAAGTAACCATACTATAGTGTAGCTAAAGTAACCATACTATAGTGTAGCTAAAGTAACCATACTATAGTGTAGCTAAAGTAACCATACTATAGTGTAACTAAAGTAACCATACTATAGTGTAACTAAAGTAACCATACTATAGTGTAGCTAAAGTAACCATACTATAGTGTAGCTAAAGTAACCATACTATAGTGTAACTAAAGTAACCATAATATAGTGTAACTAAAGTAACCATACTATAGTGTAGCTAAAGTAACCATACTATAGTGTAACTAAAGTAACCATACTATAGTGTAACTAAAGTAACCATACTATAGTGTAGCTAAAGTAACCATACTATAGTGTAGCTAAAGTAACCATACTATAGTGTAACTAAAGTAACCATAATATAGTGTAACTAAAGTAACCATACTATAGTGTAGCTAAAGTTACCATAATATTTCTGCAAATTAAAACATAATTCGAATATTATTTGACTATTATTAATAGCCCCTGGTCCCACATCAGAAGGAGGGAGGTGGGAGGGAAGTGGTGTCTCCAACCCGACCCTTATAACATCATTCTAGGTGGGAGGGGAGTGGTGTCACGTGATCCTCATTACATCACTCCCCCCCCCCCCCCTACTTTACTAAGGTAACGGTAACTCTCCCAGTTGCTAGGTAACGGTAACTCTCCCAGGAACTTGAAGAACTGTCTTAAGGAGCTAGATAAGTTGGAGAACAAAGTTTTTTACTCTGATCTGGACAAGTTTAAATCAACAGCCGACCCGCTCAGACAGTCAGCTTACGACGGAATTGTCAAGTTTGTTCAGGTAATAGCTCTGTCACGTGGTGTTAGATCACGTGGTGTTACTTTATTATTTGAAGGAACTACTACCACTCTGTAACCATAGTAACACTCGAACTATTTTAGTTAGACGATGATCTGGATAAGATAGATCAGTCGGACCTAGACACACAATCTGTCTCCACTCTACACATATCACAGTTACCTAGCAATCAGTATGAAGATCACATCTCTCAAGACGTCTCCAACTTACCACACTCTTCTCAAACAGGTGAGTACTAGGCTTGAGAGCATCTTTTTTAAATCCAAGTACTACACACTGCACGTTTCTGTGACCATGGCAACAGTGGTAACCATGGTAACCATGGTAACAGTGGTAACCATGGTAACAGTGGTAACCATGGTAACAGTGGTAACCATGGTAACAGTGGTAACCATGGTAACAGTGGTAACCATGGTAACAGTGGTAACCATGGTAACAATGGTAACCATGGTAACAGTGGTAACCATGGTAACCATGGTAACCTATTAGGTGAGGAACACCCTGAGTTGATGTCTCTACAAGAAACTAAGAGTAGTGAGGATGACCTGGAACAGTTAGAGGCTACTGCACAGAGTTGGAACCAGCTGCAACATGATATCCAGGTTAGAACAATAAAACCGCTACCTGGCAACTAACCGTTACCTAGCAACCACCTGTGAACTATCCGTTACCTAGCAACTGACCGTTACCTAGCAACTGACCATCACTGAGCATTCAGAGCAACTGACTGTTACTTAGCAACCACCTGTCAACTAACCGTTACCTAGCCACCACCTATCAACTAACCGTTACCTAGCAACCACCTGTCAACTAGCCGTTACCTAGCAACTAACCGTTACCTAGCAACCACCTGTCAACTAGCCGTTACCTAGCAACTAACCGTTACCTAGCAACCACCTGTCAACTAACCGTTACCTAGCAACCACCTGGCCAGTGGCCACTAACCGTTACCTAGCAACTACTTGTCAACTAACTGTTACCTAGCAACTAACTGTAACCTAGCAACCACCTGTCAACTAACCGTTACCTAGCAACTAACCGTTACCTAGCAACCACCTGTCAACTAACCGTTACCTAGCAACTAACCGTTACCTAGCATCTAACCGTTACCTAGCAACCACCTGTCAACTAACCGTTACCTAGCAACTAACCGTTACCTAGCATCTAACCGTTACCTAGCATCTAACCGTTACCTAGCAACCACCTGTCAACTAACCGTTACCTAGCAACTAACCGTTACCTAGCATCTAACCGTTACCTAGCATCTAACCGTTACCTAGCAACCACCTGGCAACTAACCGTTACCTAGCAACCACCTGTCAACTAACCGTTACCTAGCAACCATCTGTCAACTAACCGTTACCTAGCAACTGACTGTTACCTAGCAACCACCTGTCAACTAACCGTTACCTAGCAACTGACTGTTACCTAGCAATTGACTGTTACCTAACAACGCTGAATGATAATTAAAAGTACCTTAATCAGGACGTTGCAGAGATAATGGCAAGTTTATCTAAGTTAGTAAAGACACAAGGAGAAGAGGTGGACACGCTGGAACTAAACGTGGAGATTGCTAAAGAACGGACTACTCTCGGACTGTTGGAGATTATAAAGGCTCGGAGGGCTAAGTTTGCCGGGGTTCCTGTGGCTGGGGCTGTAGTGGGTTGTGTGGTGGGTGGTCCTATTGGCATGCTGGTGGGTTTCAAGGTTGCTGGAGTAGTGACAGCTGCTCTGGGAACATTTGTCGGCTACAAGTCTGCCAAATACTTGCGGAGAAAAGTCAACGAACGGGTTGAGGAGGAGCAGGTAAAATTCTCATCACTATAGTAACCAGCGGTATTACCATAGTAACCAGCGGTATTACCATAGTAACCAGCGGTATTACCATAGTCACAAATTTTATCTCCATAGTAACCAGTTTTATCAACATACGTCATACCACGGCAAACCAGATACAGCAACTGATATAATTAGTAATAGATTTTAAATTTAATTTAGTTAATTAAATCTGATGATAATGTCCAGGTGCCGGGAATGCTGATTGCCCCGACTATAGGAGCGTATGAGAATGAGGAGGAATGTGGTTACCATGGTAACCAGGAGGAGTATCTAACTGATGATAGCGGTGAATTTCAACAGTTTGCAGAGAGTGAGATAAGGTTCTCAGAGAAATATAAGAAATAGGGAACATCCACACAAGCTACATTCTGATTTTGAAGAGGAAATTTATTGTTAATTGTTTTAATTTTGTTAAAAGTTTGTTTAAATGTATGGGAGTGTTTTCCCGTCCTCACGCCGCACATTATCATGATTCACTCTGAGTAGGCTGAGATTATCATTCAAGCACGCTCAATCAACAACAACACTAGCCGTTACCTGGCAACTACCTAACAGCACTAGCCGTTACCTGGCAACTACCTAACAACACTAGCTGTTACCTGGCAACTACCTAACAGCACTAGCCACTCAGTCACCTTCAAGCTAACAACTATAATTTTATCCCCAACAGACATTTATTTTCGTTTGATACAAATGTTTTAATTTAAAATTACGTAATTTATATTTTTAGGGATTTTAGCCGTTTTTCCAATGGCTTTGTTAATATGTGTAGTTGTTTTAATGTTTGTAATTTATGTAATTTATGTGTTATGAATTTTTGAATTTACAAATGTTTTTGTTTCACTACTACTCTTAAAGAAACCGCCTTGTAAATGTGTATTAGTCAATTGGGTGTATTATCAATTAAAAACCTTTTACATTGAAATTTAACAGAGTTGAAATTTGATTGCTACACAGAATAAATTCTACTACAAGGCAGATGTCAGGCAGCAACAACGATACTAGCTACTTGTTACTACTAATAGATGTTGAGATACTGCTTACTACTTGCCTACTAGTCACTAGTACTAATTACCAGGTATGTGATAACTACCTGCTCCTAGGTAATCCTGTTTAGTACAAGAGTTGGAGTGTGGAGATGGACCAGTGGAAGAGGATTTCATGGTTACCGTGGTTACAGTTGCTGCTGCTCCTGATTTCATGGTTACCGAGGTTACAGTTGCTGCTGCTCCTGATTTCATGGTTACCGTGGTTACAGTTGCTGCTGCTCCTGATTTCATGGTTACCGTGGTTACAGTTGCTGCTGCTCCTGATTTCATGGTTACCGTGGTTACAGTTGCTTCACATAATAATAATATTACGTAATAAGCCAAATTTTAGCCACTTAATAGTTAAGACCCTCATCTCCCCAGTTCTTTACTGATAGTTGAAATCAGATATATAGCGCTATCTATATAACACTATATAGTGCTATCTAACGCTAGATGGCGCTATCTAACGCTAATGTTTATGAAGGAGCAATGGCATACAAATAAAACGGTATTAATGTCGGTAACAGTTCCCGTTCAAAAGGGGTTGCAGCGTGTGTCAAGTTTAGTGGGACCTAACAAGTCTGTCTACATTTTCTCAAGTTATTATTTTTAAATAAGTCTTTTGTATTGGATAAAATGTGAAAATTTATCCGAGAATAATGAGTTTTCCGACAAAAGAGATGTAATTGTATCTTGTGCGAGAATAGAAACTATATTATTATATGGTAAAAGCGGATTTTAATCTAGTTGAAATTCTACCCGCACCATCAAGACAGTATAATAGAGGCCAGACTCAAATTTAAACAAAAATAACAGGCTATTTTAGATCGAAATAAGGATAGTACTCTTGCTGAGTAGCACGTTTTGCGATCAAACGTATCACTCCTTATATGGGCATCACGTGTATTATTAATGTAGCACTAGCACTAGATAGCAGTTCAAACGTATCAATATTATTAATGTAGCACTAGCGCTAGATAGCAGTTCACCACTCAACTAGTTGACTAATCCTTGTTACACTTGAGAGAAGAGGCGGACTAAGACTGCATCTAGCTCCACCAACAATATAATAATAATGTAATAACTATCATTAACCTTAAGTTAAAATATCGTTATTCGCTCCCTAGGTTTTAATAATGGCATTTCATCATGTGATGCTGTCTTGTGCTTATGAGGATGGTAATCCTTTGTGACTACAAACTATATGGGTAATAGGCAATAGTCAAACTATTTAAAGAATCTTATGAGCTGAGTATATATACTTATACTAGTGTAACCCGGCTTTCGGCCGGGATTTCACTGCCGCAGTTAAAAAGGGTAGGAGTAATTACCCGCTGAGTTGAAACCCGCATTAGGTGAGCAATTCTATTCGGAGTGCCCTCACGTATCCAATAGTATCTTTAACAATAATCTCATAATCAGTTCTTTCTCGTGGATAATTAAGTCATTATTAGGCACCACATTCCATGATCATAAGGTCCGAACACCGACTATTACACCTCATCCCTCCCGTCTTGAACCGCTTTCCATTTTTATTTAAATCGTTTTAGAAATTAACCTGTATATGTAGCTGCATCATAATTGGGTTAAAACCCAATTATGATGCAGCTACATATACAGTTATGGGAAAGAGTGAGTGAGATCCGTAACTCTTACCATTCTGCTCAAGCCATTTTAGGAAACATTTGTGGTACAAAACCATCAATTAAACCACTTACCACCGGCCGATTTAAAAAACCTTTACCATTTGGCTTCCTCATAGTTAAAGTTTAGTCGGCACTATACCGAAAAAAAACAGCCCCGTTTTCTTGATTAAGCTGCTCGGAAATTACACACACACACAGAAAACACACAGAAAACACACATTCTGAGATTATTGTTTAAGATACGCAACCCTGCCATTAACTGTTTATTTATTTAATATTTATTAAATCTATGGGGTTAGGCCGTTAGGGCTCGTTCACATATTACATAATCAATTTTTGCACAATTTTTTCACTTTATACTCGAACTTCGAGATCTTTCTAAAAAGGCTGCCGACAGTTGAAACCAGCTTGGATCGATGTATTTTTAACGCTGATTCCGAATCACCCTACTGGCGAGTTATCGGCCAACAACTGTTTCGATCAAATGACATCAAGTTAGGGTTAGGGTTTTAGCATATTTCAAATGCTATTATATTAATATTAATACTACATAATATACTTGCATTAATAATTTCTGTGCTACTAATGCGTAATGACTAATCCCTTCATTTTTTTACCGAGCAACAAATTGACTAAAACTCGGTGCAAAGGTAACACAATCTTATCTTATCTTATCTTATGAGGATTCGTTGCGACGCAACAAGGCCATCGAATGAGTCGACCACCTTTGTTATTTTACTTCGGCATTACCTGCATTACAATGTAAACCAGCACTTTCAAGGAAGAGCTTTACAAGAAGCCGAAGGATCGTTCCTAAGGCCAGCAACGGTTAAGGCACTATGCCACACTTTCTTCGCCCGAGGCTTCGCTGTGTTGATCAAGCACAGCTCCTCATTTAACCCTCACACCCGATTTCTCGAGCATTCGGCTGAGTGAACCGTGGGGCTACATAGACCACTCGGGATCCTTAGCAGTGAGCAGAGCGTCAACGACGCTCACCCCACGACTAGGCAGGCAGTAGGATTCGAACTCGCAACCTCACGATTACAAAGCCGATGATTAACCAACTGCGCTACCTGGCCGTCTGATAAGCTTTATAAGTTTATACAGGGTGTTTCAAGACTCTTGTCCAAATTTGAATTTACAATGTTTCTATTTAATGAAGGAGCAAATTAAATGAAATCAGTTTGGGAATGCTTGTTATACTTACGTTTTATTTATTTTTTTTGCAAAATTGTGTCAAAAACCATTTTTTCACAATCTTTTGAAATTTTCTTGGAAAAATTTCAAAATTTGACCTATTAAACGAGAAGAGAGTAGACATCGTCAAGCTTCTCTGTGACGGCTACTAGGAGTGCACTTTCGAAGAAATACGGAAAATCAGGCTGGAAAATTCAGCTGACTTTCTTTGTTCTTACAGCCCTGACCTGAATCCGGCTGATTTATTTTTAAGGGTTATCTTAAAATCGTGTTTAATTTTATTCTGATCAAGTCCCAAAAAAAGTAGAACAGCCGAAAAACAGCATCAGAAGGAAGGCTAAAAGGTTAAAACTTGACATGGTAAAACGTGCAATAGACAATATAGCAATATGATTGGACGGTTCCAAACCTGTTAAGTGTTATGCCGGAAGGGGGCTTGGTTCGAAAAGTTGATGAAATATTTGAGTTATTTTTGATATGTATATTGAAATATAATAACTTATCTATAATTTAAAACAGAAATCGAACTGTTTGACCTATTTGTCAGATTTTAAGGGTCATTCAAAATTTGGACACGAGTCTTTAAACACCCTGTATTAAGATCAATGTCACGAACATTCGTATAATATGATTTGAGTTTTAAGTAAAAAAGTGTTATACCCAACGGGTCAATGTCTAACTCTAAATCTCTTCGAAAGAAGCGCGTGCCTGGTAACTTTTAGTAACCATGGTGACATGCAACAGTGAAGTAGTGTAGTTGTGTAGTTGTGTAGTAGTGTAGTAGTGTAGTGGTGTAGTAGTGTAGTAGTGTAGTTGTGTAGTTGTGTAGTAGTGTAGTGGTGTAGTAGTGTAGTGGTAAAGTAAAGTAAAGTAAAGTAAAATTTATGACATCACATCATCACACATGTCTACAAACTATCATCGCACTGTGTGAAAAAATATATAATAAATATTTCCCCACCAACATTAATTAATTATCAAATACAATATTTAAAAACAATTTCATCAAAAACATTATCCTATTTTTAAAACTTCCCAGTGGAATAAAGATTTATAAAACGCTTCTTTGCCACATAAGGATGGAACCAAAGATAATTGTTATGTTTCTCTTTATTACTGACATAACTGGCTCCCTCAATTCTTACTAAAACTTCATTAGAAACATTCCAAAAAAAGCAATCATTTGTAATACTTTTAGAAATCATATCTATCTTATATCCTTCTAATTTAATTTTAAAACCTAAAACTGTCACAGAGTTCTTGACGTCCGGAGGGAGTTTGTTCCAATATGGAATAACTCGCTCCGGGAGAAAAGACTTCTGGATATTCTTGACCTTTGTCACACTTTTACTACATCTATTGGATGAAACCAGATTAAGACCTGATCTGCTTGGTCTGAACAAGTCTGAACCATAATCAGTCATAGCATTAATAACCTTAAAAGCTTCAATAAGGTCCCCACGTATTCGCCGCTCTGCCAGCGTTGTCAAATTGAGGATTTCCAGTCTACGGCTGTAAGGAAGAGTACCCACCTCATCAATCAGACGGGTAAACCGCCTCTGGACGCTCTCCAGCTCCAAAACAGTCCCCCAACTTCCATGAGCCGCAGGTGGATTCCACAATTGGACACAATACTCAAGATGAGGTCTTATTAAAGCTTTATATATAGCAATCATAACAACCTTTTCTCTAATAACTAGATTCCTTACAATCCAACAAATCATACGATTTGCCTTAGCGATACATGCTTTGATCTGTTCGTTCCAAAGCAGGGAGCTATGGGTAATAACCCCCAAATCTTTTTCCTGTGCAGATACTTCAAGTTCTATACCATTTACCTTATAATTTAAATTAGGATTGTTGTTAAAATTAATGTGCACTACTTTGCACTTGGCAGGATTAAATTGTAAAAGCCAAATACTTTCCCAAACTTCTAATTCTTCGATATCT